GGAAATATCTTCAACTTGTACAAAATGCAAAATAGCACATTGGTTTGGAGGTTGTTTGGTATAAAAACATTATTAAAACAACAGTTCTTTGGGATAGTGCTAATGGATTTCTAACTAGAAAAATAGACTCATGCTGCTACTTATCAAATATTCAGATTACAAAAAAAAAAACCTAAATGATATCAGCCCTGAAAAGACATGTAGTCAACATCAAGTCTAATTTAAAAGCATTTCTGAAGATGGGCAAATATAATTTTATTTCTCAGCTGGAGCAATGGTATTTCATGGAAAAATAATATGAGTCTGACAAGCGATAATGCTAATAATCCCTTTATCTGTCTCTCTGACGACCGTGGAGATGACAGTGTCACGGCACCAGAAGACATCTCAGCATTCACTTCGGGGAAATCAAGCCGCTGCTTCCTTCTGCATCTCCTGCTTTTCCTTTCTCCTACTTCAGTTTCCGTGTTCCTCTGTGTGCTCTGTTTCACCCTACTTCGAATCCTGCTGTGGCAAAGAAATGGGAGAACGGCTCCCGTTAGCCCAAACTCAAAGACTGCCAACATGGTTCTTATCCTAGCAGTGTTCTGCACACCCACTCTTCAAGGAGAACAGTGTTTAACACAGTGGAGTGAAGAATGGATTTGACTTGCTATCAGTCTCTGGCTTCGGGGCTTGCTTTAGTCTTGTCCTCTTGTCCTTAGATTTCCTCAGAGCCTCAGTTCATGCAATAATGAATAAGAATCCCTCACTACAACTCTCATCCGTGTTACGTCCTCCAAAACCCCTCAAAGCCATCTGACGTTTCATGCTATTTATTTTTGCTGGCTTGGTGCGTAGACGACTTGGTGCTTTACTTCAGTCTTGCCTCCGTGTGTCCAGGTGGCTGTTTGAGGCCTGCTTTCTTCCTCTGGAAAAACAAAATGATCTGATATCTGTCATTTCTTTCTTCATTATCTTGGTGATTTTCACAAAACTGAGAATCTGCTTTTCTTTTTCTCTGTCTGCTCCTTTCCCATTGTGTGTGCAGCAGAGGACACCTGGTACCATGCCCAGAACAGTTTATTAGTACAGCTAAGGAATACATTTTTATGCATTTGTTTCAAGCTACTGGTGTGGAATTCCTGGATGTATCAGTAGAAGCACAGCTTACAGCAGGTTTTACTCTTCCCTGTAAATGACATTTTAGGTAAAAATTAAGAAATCCACACTATGTCTTTCTTTCAGCTTCCTTTAATTTCCTAGGATGTCTCTGTCTACTTCCCAGTGTGTGTGTGTGTGTGTGTGTGTATGCATATATGTTTATCACTTTCTATCAATTTTTATAGTGATTAGTTGGTTCTTCTCAGGACTAGTACACATGGGAAAAAATGATCACAGTAGCACAATGTGGATTACTCATGGAGAGCATTTACTTTTTCTTGCTTTTTTTTTTTTTTGCAGTACATAGAATAAACAAACTGGTGTGGTGTTGACACAGACATGAGGCTTGGCTCACTCCTTTCCTTATTTTAAAACAAGGAAGCTATAAAAAGATGAGAGTTAAGCCTTCTTCTCTAAAACTGCATTAAATAAATCAACAGGAGAAACAACTTGAGCAAGCTTTTTACTGCCATAGGCAGTTGCGTAAATCTGGTCCTGTGATAACCTTTACTACACTTTGCAAGAGGCATGCTGTAAAAAAAAAAAAAAAAAAAAAAAAAAAAAAAAAAAAAAAAAAAAATCAATAAATCCAAGACTGACTGTTCTTATTTTTCTTTTCCACAAAGATAGACATTAGAGTTACTTTCCTCTAACATGTTCATGTTACAGGATTATTTTAAAATTTGAATTACAGAAAAGCCAAGTATTTGTTTAAATATAAAACAAAGACATTTTAGTGGCTGAGTGACAGCTCCGTGTTTAAGAGAACACAATGCTCTTGTAGGACACCAAATTTAGTTTGTAGCACTCGTTTTTTAGTGGGAGAAAAGATGTCTCAGAGGTTAAGGGTGTTTTCTGTACTTGTGCACGACCTTGGTTCCATTTCTAGTGTCCATATAGTGGCTTATAGCTGCCTGTCACTCCAGGTCCAGGGGACCCAACACACTCTTTTTAGCTCCAAGGTCTCTGGCATACACATGTTGCACATACATAGAATCAGACACCCAGACATACATAAAAGAAACATTAAAATAAGAATAAACATTTAAGAAAATAAATAAATTATCATCACAGTACACTGATAATCACAATAGAGAATTTTAATATAAATAATGGTATTGCCTTAGTTAAGTTATTATAAATGTTTAAAGGATTAATTTATAAGTAAAGTGTCTATTATTACAAGTTTAATTTGGTTTCCTATTCTTCAAATATCTAACAATGTAATTGTAACAGAAGAACTTCAAGACACTATTCAGTTCAGCAGTTTTGAAATAGACTTTTAAATGCAATTTTGGGGGCTATGCTATTGTCTGTACCAAGAGCCTTATGTACACTGGCCAAGAACTCCACAACTAGACTACACCAGTGTCTAATGGCAGCCTTGAATGCATGGGACAGAGTTGAGAACCAGGAAAAAAAAAAAAAAAAACTGAGTCATTTACAAAGGTTATACAGGGCCCAAAAGAATCTTTCACAGATTTCTTACGTGATTGACTTCAGCAGTAAAGAGAATGGTCCCGAATTCAGAAGCTAGCCAGATAATAATCAAATCCTTGGCTTTTGAGAACGCAAATGCAGCATGCAAGAGAATAATCAGGCCATTAAAGGCAAGCTCTGCACCCTTGGAAGATTGAATTAGAGACACGGTTAATGTTGAAGCTCACGACCATGATAATATGTAGATAGGAGAAGGAATTTCAAGAGGTTTGAGGAATGTCAGATGTTTTGGATGTGGAAAGCAAGGACATTTGAAAAGGGACTGTAAACAGGTCATTCCTAGAAACGATGTTTCTTCAAGGAACAATGGCAACAGAATGTCCCTTCCTTCTGGAGTATGCAGAAGGTGTGGTAAGGGAAAACACTGGACCAAGGAATGTAGATGTAACCATCTTGTGTTAAATAAGAAACACAGAGCCAATGCAGGGATGAAAGCCCAAGAGGTCAGAGTAATAGCTAAGCGATAAAAACCTTACCCTTCACTGCCGCTACTATCCTCCTCAGCAAGAATACTACTTCCTGTGTATCTGTCTTCTTATAGACTTTCTGCATTCTCATTGGTTGTAAACCCAACCACATGACCTCCTTGTCACTGCCCATCTATATAGACCTCCAGGTCTTCTATGGTTGGTATTGAGATTAAAGGCATGTGTCTCCATGCTGGTGGTATCCTTGAACACACAGAGATCTGCCTGTCATGTGATCGGGATTAAGGGCATGTGCTACCACTGCCAGACTTTTGCTATGGCTTGCTATTAGCTCTGACCCCAAGGCAACTTTATTTATTAACATACAAATAAAAACACATTTCAGTACAAATAAAATATCATCATACACCAGAGTCTCTTAATATTATTTTTTTTAATTTAGCACTTTTCTTCCATTTAAATTATCTTTGTATATGTATATACATCTGTACTTGGATGCACAGGTAATACAACCTTTTATTAAGTAGATCTAAATTGTTAATTATCATTTCTGAAGACTGATAATTTAGTATATATGAATTTTGTCAGCAGTGAAAATTATATTTTCATTTTGAATTTGTCTAAACAACTCATGGCTCTGTTGGTCCTCTCGGGCTGTTGAGGAAATTTGTTGTACATTGGTGTCTTTAAACAAGAGAAATTCATTCTTTCAAGGTTTTATATATTAGAAAGTCCCCAAAGAAAAGTTTGGTAGAGCCATGCTCCGCTAGGATGCTCTCAACAGAGTGTTTCTTTGTCTCCCTCAAGATCCAGTAGTGTCTGGTATTCTTTAAGTTGTGGCAGTATTGAGTCAATTTTCATAGGACTTAGGCTTCTCCACAGCTTCTGTTTTTCTGCATCAACATTTCTATTTTCCGTGATCAGTGGCTTATGGCTCATCAGGATCCAATATGAACTCAAAATGATTATGTATGCCCAAACGACACTTTTATATAGCATTGTATTTTGAAGTTCTCAGTGCACATGATGCGGGGAAGGGGGTTGGGTGGGAGGCCCTGTGAAACCCAATGAAGAAACATATGATGGTCATTCATTAAAATCACTCAGCTAGCTGCAACAGATTTATGTAATTTCTTCCAAAAGCAAAGAGGTCTGCAGGAGGTGGATATGTGTGGCAATATAGAGGATAACAAATACTCCCCAAATGTCACTCGTGCGTGGGGAGGTGAAGGAAAACATGTGTTTTGCTTTGACAGTGAAATATAAGAAGGCATAAAATTTGTGTCCAGCCAGAAAATCTTGCAGCCTTTGGATTTTCCGTTTGTTTGGAGAGGTGGTACTCTATCAGCCTAGGTGCTTGAATGAGCATGGAATGTGGGGCTCCACAGCTAAAGCATAACTGAGCAAAAAATAATCCTTGCTGCTTGAGATGTGGGGATGTTTATATCTTTGCAATGTTTTTTTCTTATTGCATGTAATGGGAAAATGCCTCTTGGGGCCAGAAAATATGGCACTCTTTTCATGCATTAAGTCCATGTATAGGTAGAGTACATGAAGACATGTGGACATTACATGGACATCTGATTAACAAGGAAAGGTCAAAAACACTCCTTTCTTGACTGTTCAGGATGCTATTGAACAAAATACCACAAACAGGAAGACTTTTAAACAAGACTTTTCCCTTCTCATGGCTTGGAATTCTAAGAACCAAGTATCAGAAATTCATTTCGGAGTCACAGACTCTTCTTACAGTGTCCTCATCTGCTAGCCTGTGCAGGTTTTCGGCAGTTTTTTTTTTTTTTTTTTTTTTTTTTTTTTTTTTTATTTAATGAAGACATTAATAGCAACCATGCAGACTCTGTCTTCATGACTGGGTCACCTTCTCAGAGTTTTGCCACCTGACTGTGAATATCATTTGGATGCATTTCCAGGGGGACATGGGCACTCTGAATGTAACTGCTCCTTAGAAAAATGGCAATGAAAAATTTTTTTTAAATGTCAGGAAACATTGCTCCAGAAGATTCTGGCCCAAGCTAGATGATACTGTTGGCTTTGTTGAGAGTTTAAGAATATCAGCTACAAACATTGACCCTTGTGCTCTCTTCTATTGAGTTTTCATTAGTTCTACTCAGAATTACAGAGTTAATGATAATACACTTGGAAGTAAAGTTAATATCAATGTCACTCACACATGGATTCTGAGAATTTTATTAGATAATGCAAATGGCTTTGTAGTTGTTACCATGCATATTTAAGAAAAACACGCAAGTATTACTGCAATTTAATTGTTGCAGTCTGAAGTCTTTGAAGGAGAATAAGATGGTCTGAATTAGCTGTAAACAACCATTTTGAGGATGATGTATTGTATCTTGCAGCCCAATGTTTTCAGGAGGTAATCTAATCAATGAGAGAACAGTCAGAATTCCTAAGAGGATGACGTGAGATGGAATCTCAAGGGGTCTTTTAGTTACTTGTTCCATTACTGTAACAAAATGCCTGGCTAAAGCAACATCAAGCAGGGTTCATTTTGCATCCACATTAGGAAAGGACAACATGATGACAGCAGCTTGAGACTGTTGGTCACATGGCATCAGCGGTCACACAGCAGTGGTTGATGAATACAGGCATTCACCTTGTTTTCTCCTTTCTACCAAGTCTGGAACATGAGCTTTTGGAAAGATGCCCCCTAAGCTTAGGATGTATCTTCCCAACTCGGCTATCACAGTGTAGAAAGTCCCTCACAAATATGCCCAGAGGTGTGTCCCTAGATGATTCTAGATTTTGTCAAGATGACAATAAATACTAACCATCACAGGCTGAATAAAGAAGCGCTATTATGCCAATGGCCAGAACTCAAATCATGTGGTTTAAATGAACTGTAAGTGAAGCTGAGAAGGTTAGTCAGTTCTCTATTGGTGAAGAGATGTGCTTCTCGACTCACAAATAACATTGCCATCTCAACATAAGTTCATTATAGTAACCCACCACCACCAAGGTCATTAATTCCAATCCCCTATATTGAAGTTGGCATTCTAACCTTTGTTTAACAGTTTAATTGCTAACCTGATACTCTAAAATGGTAGAAATAAGATGATAGTGCAGATCTGCCTTGCACATCTGATTTCAAGCTGTAGTTTGATCCAGCCTGCTCTGTTGTTATATCATTCAAGATTACATTGGTCATCCTTGTTCTTTGCAGGGACAATGGAGTGGAAATGTTCCATCAGCATTAGTTTAGAGAAGACTAAAGTTTCCTAATGATCAGTAAAGAGATTGCTTATGAGTATGGTGAAATCTCATCTGGAAAACTTTAAAATGAAATAGTTTTTCATCTCCTTTTGATGATTCCAAACAAAGGCTGTGAAATAGACTATCAGAAATCCTATAAACGTTTCTTCAGCTTTATCATATAACGTCCTTTGAATGTGTTCTTTTGGTGGGGAGTAGAGATGAGAGAAACAACATAAAAGGTAAGTAACAACCTGGACTTAAGCCAGATCTAGAAACAGACTACAAAATCTACAACAATAAAACACAAACCCCTCGATTGCTCATTATGCTATATAATTTTCATTGACCTTGTCTGCATCAATTATACCTCAAACACTAATGTTTATTAGATAACTGAAGAAAAAGATCATAATGAGTAATTTTAGAAAAAAATTAGAAATTAAAGGGTAGAGATATCATGAAATGTTTTGCAGATTGCTGAAAATAATAAATTTAGACACTCAATATATCATATATTAGATACTGTATAATTACATTTTATTGTTAGTGAATATCAGCAGCTACTCACTGAAAACGAAAAAGGAAACAAGGCATGAAGACAGAGACACTCAATTTGTATCAAAGTCAAATTGCATTGATGCCATTTATTCTTAATATTTGTTCCTCTGTTAGTTTTTATGTTCGTATTAGTACATAACAGTACTCCTGTGTGTGAGAGCTTCAAGCAGGGAGTATGTGGAGGTGAGGGAACAACTTTCGATGTCAGTACTCACCTTCCTCCTTATCTGAGACGAGGTATTTTTGCTTCTCACTACATCCATCAGTCTGTGTCTTGCAAATGTTGGAGGATTATCACATCTCTACCTTCCATCTTCCTGGGACAACACTGGGATTACAGATGCATGGTATCCCACCCTACGTTATCTGGGTTCTGAAGGTTCAGGCTCTGGTTCTCTTGCTTGTATGGTAAGAGATTACCCACCAAGCCGTCATCCAGCCCTAAATTGAAATATTTTGATATTGAGTATCACATATGTCATATCACTGCATGTGAAGATCATCTATAGATAAAAGTGGTGGAGATTTCTTCCTTTCATTTCATGTCATCCCATAAGGAAAATAATGCATATATACATGTATAATTTTAAATAAAACTATATTGCTGAAATTCCAGCAAGAATTCAACATTAAAACCAAAATACATATTATGTATTCTACAGAATATTATGTATTCTAATATTTTAAAGAAAGTCAAAATTCATTGTATCAGGCAGAATTCAGATACTTTGAATACTGGAAACAAATCAGAATCTGTTCCCCAAACAGACTGGTTCTTCTATGATAGAACCATAGGCAGGTCAATTGGATCACATGTGCCCTTGGATGAATTCCAATATATTGTCATAAGGGAGGAAATGCATCACTTTCTTAATGTGAGGAATCCATTATCATACATCTCTGAATGTCAACCTGCAATCAGAGATCTGTCCAGATCTTGGATCTATGGGTGTGATAGGTTCTTCCTTAAACCTTTGAAACTCTGTTCTTTTTAAAAATAACAGAATTTTGTTTGGGATACAAAATAAGTTTTCCTTTTAAGATTGCAGTGCGTATGTCTAAAATGTGATGATGCGAAGTCCAGATTGGAGCAGACAGATTTGAAATAGGTTGGCAAAGAATCAAAGGGATTTTCATGGTTTTGTGATATTGCACTATAAAAATAGCATATGAAAAACTATCGTTATTCATCACTTCAGTTAGACACTCTACTGAAATAAGGACTTGCGATCTTGAAAGGAAACAATGAAGGAAATCTCTGCACACATTTCCTTACTCTCTCAGGGTCAATGATTGAAACTTTATTTCCAGAGCATTTGTAATTTTAATAGTGGGCAACTTTATGTGTGTTATGAGGGGGTCATTGCCTTGTCTACCAAATGTTTTTTTATTCACTTTTATCAAGTACTGAGACTTCGTACCTAACCAGCTGACTGTGTGATGGGGATGTGTGAAACCTTGCTCCAACATAGGGAAGATAAAGCCTCACCAAAGAGCTGTGAAATACTTCTAGGTGATTTGAAGGACTTCAGATTAATTTGAAGTTTTTACAAACTAGAAATATAAACTTCTGTTTCACAAAACTTTGTTACAGCATACTTTCTAAAATGATGTATACTGGGAAAATTTCAAAGCAATGGGAAGCCTGATGCTGGGCAGTAGCAGGTCATGGGTCCTTGAGGGCTGACATATTCCTGGAGATTCCAAAAAACACGTATCAGATTGCACCAGTATTATCCAGCTCTTGTTTCACTCCACCCCCAACTTCTTTCCTGATCCCATTGGTCATTTTTTAATGTACCAAATGGTGGTCTCTAACTTCCTGTGACAATTACACACACACACACACACACACACACAGAGAGAGAGAGAGAGAGAGAGAGAGAGAGAGAGAGAGAGAGAGAGAGAGAGAGAGAGAGAGACACGACTGAGAACACTGGAAATAATACATGCGTATAGGTACAATGTCAGGGACTCCTTTGGATTTAGATGTCCATAGTAAGAGAGAAAAAGCTCCAGAAAACATTCCTATTCACTGCCTTGTGGTACAAGGAACAGTCATCTAACATCGACAGCCATGCTGGAGAACAAAGGATTTTTGATGCTAACTTTGTTGTGAACTGTGCCATAGTAGCAGGAACATTCATATTCTCAGTCAAGACACATGCTTATTGTGTGCTGTCATGCAGGTTCTCTACACAACACGGGGACATGTGTAGCTGTGATCCTAATGATAGCCTTCTGGACATCACTGTGATGTACCTAAAGAGCAAAGGATCTGTATGAATGTTATTTAAAGGAAAAACTGGAGTAATAACCAAAACTCGCATGCTAAATAAGCAACAGTAAGGCATCTTTAGTCAGAAATTCAATATGGATTAGATCACGGCCAAGAAAAGTCCAAATCATCACTTTCTGCAAGATTTCACAGGAACTGGAAGATCACATTACAATTAAACTTGATGTGCTTTTAGTGAACAACAACTATGGAAAAAAATGGATTATTTGCTCTAGGGTTTTTTTTTTCTTCCTTTGTAGGTAAACAACAGTCTTTAAAACCTGAGTCTTATGGTAGAAGTTGGAAATTCAGTTTTAGCACAAAAGGAGCAGGAGAAAAAGTATGGAAGGAGGAGAAAGGAAAGAAAAGAAAATTGTTTCATTGATCATTATCAAAACAGTTTTAAAGTCAAAGGCTGTTCAGATGCATTTTTTTTTTCAATGTAATTGCCTCAGCATACAATTCCCTCAAACCAAATTTGAACAAAATATATGGGTCATTACCTACACCAAGACACCAGGCGACTAAAACAATGTGTAAAAACTCCTGACCAGACGAGAATGACTTGCTTACTTCTGCGTTACTTTTTTATTATGTTCTAGCTTTCTCCAGAAAGATTCTGAGAAAGACGAGTATGAGAAAATATTATTCCTCTGAAATAAATTGGAAATTTCTGATGATAATCAATTCATTTTGAGATAGTCATTAATACCTATCAATATATAATGAGTCCCATATATATGTAGAGTTCACTTGTTATATGGATACATTTCTACCCTAGAAGATAGGAATAAGTATCGGGTAGATGTTCTCCAACCAATTCTTTCTGGTTCTCAAACATACTCTTCCTGACTCTTGAGTGGTATTATAGGTTATTTAAGGAACAACTCTTGTAGTAAAATGAAAAGTAGTTAAATGAAAAGACATAAGAAAACTTCCAAATGGAATGTGTCAATGATATCTTGTAGCATGAATCTTAAATGATCTTATTAATAAAATCAAACCAGGGGCCAGTTATTGGGGTGAAATGCTGGATGGTCAGAGAGACAGAATAAGCCACAGCTACCTCACCTCGCCGGATCCTCAACTGGTCCTGTTTCCTCATACTGGAAGCCTCTGTGTCCTCATATGTGAATGGCTCTCAGGTGAATTGCTGCTCAAAAGCCTGAATGCTTAACCAGCCAAATGCTTAACCAGCCAAATGCTTCTAGTTTCTGGTCCTCACGCCTTATATACCTTTCTGCTTTCTACTACTACTCCCTGGGATTAAAGGCTTGCTTTCTGGGATTAAAGGCATGTTGAGTCACCATGCCTGTCTGTATCCTTGAATAGATAGATTTCTGCCTCTGGAATGCTAGGATTAAAGGCGTGTGCTACCACTGCCTATCCTTTATGTTTAATATTGTGGCTGCTCTGTCTCTGACCTCAGATAAATTTATTAGCATGCACAATATTTGGGGGAATACAAAACCACATTTCCTCTCTTTTTGTCTAAAATTTAAAAAAGCTTATAACTAATACAAGAAAAATTATATCCAGTAAGTATATACAATATACACAGTCAAGATTACATTAACGATGTCTAGTCCATTAACATTTGACAGATTCAGATAAAAACTCCATTATATATATTAACAATGTCCAGTCCAGTAACATCTGATAAACTCAGACCAAAAAATTTTCATTACTTATCTTATTTAAAACAAGTAGTTCCTTTTTAAATGTAGATTCCATAATCTCCTTTTTTATCTTATCATATCCATATTCTCTCTTTTTTCTTTTCATAATAGATTCAGTAGTCTACCTTTTGTCATTTTTATATCTTCCTCTTTTTCTTCAGTGTAGATTCAGTGATCTACCTATTTATCCTATTATTTCTTTATCTTTTTTCCTCAGAGTAGATTCAGTGATCTATCTCAATATCTTTTCCCAGATCTTTCTTAAAATTAAGACTCTTATTAGTTTATTTGATTTTGAATTCCTGAAGAATTTCATTATGGGAATTATGTTTGCTGGAGAAAAAAAAGTTTTGTACTCAGGAGCAATATAGTCTGGGGGAGTTTAGAGGAGAGGTTTCTTGTGTAGAAGAACAAGAAAGATTTTTTTTTCAATTCTTGACTTAAAACCTAGCTCAATGTCTGATTGAACGCTTTATAGAATTATCAACTATTTTCTAGCATCCTGAAGAGATCACAGCTGATAACCCAGGGCATTTGGGGATTTTTCTTGGCCCTGGTGTTATCTAACATAGAACCCCTCTGCTTGTATTTATTTTGAGTTGGGAGGGGGTGATGAATTGAATCATGTAAACTTGTTTCCCCTTCATGATTTCTTTTCCCAATATGGTGCTAACTGGGAGTCAATACTTGAAGAAATTCAAGTGATTTAATTTAAGCCTTCTAAAGTTGTTTTTTTTTTCTTCTTTTTTCCTTTATGGTTAATGCCTGTAGTTCAAAACTGCTGAAATGACCTTTGAAGCTTCGTGAGAAACATGACTTAGTTCAGACCTTTGTGACAACTTTACTGCTATCTTCAGCAAGGCAGCTGGAGTGCCACGAGAACCCTAACTGCTTGCTTAAATGTCTTTGGCCATTTGGGGGTGGGGGGGGCACTCGATTTCGCATTATAAGCAAAGGAGAACTAAGTTCAGGGGAGGCAGCAAAATACATCCCACCAAACAAAAGGCTCCTCAAACGTCCTCAAATACAATCTCTTTCCTAATATTTTCCAGTAGGGGGAACTAAAGACTCGCCAAGCAGAGGCTCGCTCTGCTCAGGGACCCGCGTGAGTTCCTGTCAGAAGCTTTATAGTCACCTGAACAAGCATCAAACAGCTACCAGCCAGGCTGTGATCACACGTGGGCCCGGCCACACCGACCACGCCAGGGCACCTTTAGACTAGACAGAGGCATCCGTCTGGTTTCAAGTGGCGCTCCCGAACTATTTCCAGCCCTAATGGAGTTTTTGCTCGCAATGTACCCGTTTTATCGTGTTTGGGCTGAAACACCGCTCTGGAGCTTCTGTTAGTCCTGTTGGCTTATCAGCATTCTTAAATCAGAGCCTGCTTTCCGAATTTCCTTTTCGAGGTGCTAGGGAGGGCGAAGGCCCTAGAAAACCACTTCCTCCAAGTCCTTTGATCCTGGACCTCCACTGCTCCTAGAGTCTTCTGCAGAACTCTTTTTATCACAAGGTCCCGAATTACGCTCAGTGTCGGGAGGTCAGAAGGCAACCGAGCAACATTAGCGGGATGCCAACCCTTACCCTCTCTCCTCCTCTTGGGGATTCCGCTGCTAGCCATAGATCTTGGCTAAAACAAGCCTAAAGAGGTTAGAGATACCCTATCCCCAAACACACACACACACACACACACACACACACACACACACACACACACACACACATACACACACACACACACACACTTTTTTTGGCCTGATTCACTTACAACCACATAGGAAGTAGGTACACAAAACCTTTCTACTCCAATAGGTGCTGCTTCACCCCCTCTCCTGTCCTTCCTGTTGGCCAACTTCTCCTTTCTACTACAAAGTGTGTGTGTGTGTGTGTGTGTGTGTGTGTGTGTGTGTGTGTGTGTGTGTGTGTGTGTGTCGGTGTGTGATTTTTAACGGGTAATGAGGCTGTGCCCGGGGTCCTGGAAGATCATCTTTTTCTAGAAAAGCTCTTGTGCAGCTCCAGCAGACGGAGCGATGAATAATTAGGAAGGGCTTCCATGAAATCACTCACCGAGAAAATTACCTGCCCATTAAACGGGCCGCGTGAGGAGCGGGAGGCTGGAAGCCCACCTCACCCCTCCCGAGGAGGGAGGGAGAGGGACACCCGGGAGGCTCCTGGAACGGGAAAGAGTTGATGGCTAATCGCAGTCCTTCCTAGCCCGCAGTGGCTCCACATTGGTTCATTTCCGTCCCCCCCCCCCCCCCAAGACTCATCGCCTGCCCGATTACCCCTGCTTTGAGGACCCAGGGGCGAGCTGTCGCCCCCTTGTAAGGGAGGGTGACCATTGGTGGTGGTGATCTGGGTGCACCCCTCTTCCTCCACCCGCTGCCGGGGACCTGCTCCGAGCAGCGCTTTCCTCCCCTCCTCTCCTGCCTCCTCTGAGTCCTGCCAGCCCTCGGCAGCTGCTGGAGGAGGAGGCGGACGCAGCGCAGCCTCCGCTGCCGAAGCAGCGGCTGCACGCGAAGGGGCTGGAGGCAGGATCGCTGCTTGGAGGCTGGACCACACGCTAGCATCCTCAGGGCTCCCAGACCCGGGGATCCCTAGTCTAGCGGTGCTCGCCCACAGCAGCTGGACGCTAGCTCGCTCCGGGGCGGCCCCTGGGGGTGGCGGCGGCGGCTTCAGCCCAGCCCCTCCCTCTTCCCTGGCTTCCTCTTTTCGCCTCCCTCCTCGCTCCCTCACCACGTAGGAGTTCCCATTCTCCACCCGAGCCGTCCTGCTTTCCCCCCTTTCCTGCCTTTTGGAAACCAGAGACTCCGAGGGAGGCGACCGGGCGGCAGAGGAGAGGGCCGGCTCACAAAGTGCTGCTTTGACACATCCTTAGGATGGAAGTTAAGTGAAAACAAAACAACACAAAACAAAACTCCGCGAAGTGTTGCTGCTACGGAGAAGGAGACCGGGGCGGGCAGAGGAAACCCGGTGGGCAGGCCAATGGTTGTTCCGCAGCGCGTTGGCAAGTTTGTGGAACACTTTCTAGGAATTAGGTCTTTTTTGTCCCCCGTCATCTTGACTTCTGAAGAAAGAACTTGTGTTTGGATTGCAATGGAGTCTAAGGAGACAGGGCTAGATGCACGTGAATAGTCCCGCCAGCTGGGCTGAATTTGTGGGAATTTCGGAAGCCAGCCTGTGGAAGTAAAGCCGCTCTGGAGTCCCTTGGGTTCATTCGGATGGCTCCTAACGTGTCCCGTGTCAGAACTCTTCTTCACCAACAGCTTCTGATGTTGCCATTTTGCTCTTCTTGACCTTAATTAATCTCTAGGAAAGTCTAAACTTCGGACCTACCTCTTTTTTTGATACTTATTTTTGTACTTCTGCTCTCTGGGATTGGTTTCTTAAACAATCTGGATCCTTTTTCATATGTCAAAATGAGTCCGCTGATGTTTACACTACTATTGCTCTTTGGATTTCTCTGCGTTCGGATTGATGGTGAGTTAAAAGCCCCCCTTTCTTTCCGAGGTTGTTGTGGCTTCTAAATAAAATGTCAGTGTGGTTGGGAGTGTGTTTTGGCCATGCACAAGCTCTTCGGGGGCAGAGGTTCTGAGTCTTTTGTTTTTAACCTGCTGCCAGTGGAACATAATATAGTCACCTATTGTTGTTATTGTAATTAATTCATTGAGGAGTTTTACAATAAGTGATGGACTCACCGCTTAGAAGAATAACTGTTAGAGACAATGTCTTGAAAGAGCCCAGCGTGACTGTGGCCACTCTCTATTTGGTATTTGTTCTGGTATCTAAACTTTGGCTTAGGCATTCAGCGGCAGAACTAGAGTAGCTGATAACTTCCAGGTGCATTCAAAGAGTAGGGATTTGAGACTGGGCATCTCAAGGTTCAAAGTGTATCACCTGTGTGGCGGTGAATGCTATCCCGGCATGAAATCAGAATGAAGGATTTAGATCCCAGCGAGAAAACTGTCACAAGTGGGACTGGGCGAGGCTCCAGGAAGGAGGCAGTATCCACTATGGGCTGGCTGCAAGCTGGGAGCCCTCAGCCAGGTCCCCAGTAGACCAACACAATGGGGACTTGGAACAGGTGCTGTAGGTGTCTTCCGTTAGGCTGAACCACTCTGTCAAGCAGACAGTTTTTTTACCTCTGGCTTTCCTGTCTTTTGTTCAGATTCAGTTTCTGGAGCTATCCTCAAATAAATGTCTGGTTCTTGGGAGATTATCACAAAATCCTTGTGTAGCTGTTTGAATGAGAAGGGTTAATAATTGTGAACATATTGTGGGTTTGTTCTTTGAAAGTAAAATGAAAATATTTGGAGTTGACTTCTAGAGACATTCATTTTTATATCAATGGCAAATGTTATTTATAAAGAGTGGACTAAGCCACTCACCCCCATCCCAGGAACTGAGCTTGGAAATAATTTCCAATTCTAATTATTGTGCTTATAAAGACTCTTAGGTATATTAATCCAAATATTTAAGACATTAAGATAACATGTTGCTACATAAACTTTCCTTTGATTTCATTACTTGGGACATTGCCTAGTATTGCCCATCTGTAGGAGCTAACTTTGTGTCTGGAAGCTACTGTACAGAACCTAGGAACAGACTCAAAAGGAAGACTATCCATAAACACAAGGCAATGCAGATGAGCTTATCTACTGTCAAGTGGCAGTTTTCAGTTGCAGAATGGAATACATGAGTTTGCGACCCCCCCACCCTCCCCAGTGATAGAGATCTGGGAGGAGTGCTTGTGTGTGTGTGTGCACATTTCTCTCTTTCCCTGCAAAGTAGTAGAAGCTTCGGATTTGATCACTATGAGTGACATTGTGGTAATTTCTACAATCATATCTGTAATCATTATCCATGCATTATCATTTCTAGCAGGCTCACTTTTACCATACATGGGTATCATCCTAACAAAGAGGTTTATATATTCCAAATATGTTTGATTATTGTATTGGGACTTTTCTATAGCAATGTATTTATAAACTCTGCATTCGACTATAGAATTAGCACCATTTAAAAAGATCAGATTCTCCAGGAAGGATACACTTAAATTGCTTAGTGGAAGTGACAGAGGGAATCTGAAAAGCTTGGTGTTACAGAATGTAATTAATGTACCAAGGTGTTTGGAGATGTATGAAACAAATGCAATTAACCAGTGTGCTGGAACAGCAGCAGTGACATGTTTTCTCTCCTCCTTTTCTCCCTCCCTCCTTCACTCCCTCTGTCCCCCTTCTATTGGTTTTATCCTCCTCTCTCTTCTTTCCATCTTTCTCTTGCATATCCCCCCCCATTCTCTTTCTGCCTCCTCCTCCTCCTCCTAATTTTACTTCTCTGAAGACGTGTCTAGAACCTTTGTTCTGATTTTCCATAATAAACCAAGGAGGCAGTTTTTGTGTGTGGACCATCTGCAAGAGAGTTCGTAGTAATAAAATGAAAAATGCCTACAGGTACAACACTTAAGACCGAAGAGGTGATGTTACATTTCATCTATATAAAATCTGCTAGGTCAGAATCAAAAGCAATTATAGACACTCTTACTGAATTTGCACGTAACCATACATTTGACATTGACTTGCCTTTGGGTACTTCAGAATGGTGACAGCTCTTCCATGGGGATTGTTGAAAATTTGGGATGTGGACAATACTGCCATCTAGGCTGTTTCAAGGCTTGGGACCCTGCATTCACATATCCAATGAGGAGGCTGGTGTACAGAATCTCTAAGCTCTCTGCCCTTCTGGATTCTGTGATATTTATTTACTTTTTGTCCTTCTTGGAGCTGTGGGCTTATTTTCCACATGAATTTCAAATTTAGAGAAGCTTGTACCATTCCAAAGATATACTGACTATCCTTGTGTTCAACATAGAAATTAATTTTATTCAGTGACAAATGATACATAGATTTGCATTAAAATTTGCTTGGTGGGTTATTTATATGTGCATTTTTATAGTGCATGAAAAAAATGCTAGAGTTTCGCTTCCTCATAGAAAATATGTGCTAATATTATTTATGACTTTTCAGAATCTTTTCCCTATAACAAGTCATAAAGAATAAATATTAAATTAGTTGAAAACTGCAGATGAACTTTTTAAAAAAATCTTTAATATGAAGGTTTTATTTTATTTGAAACACATTAATAGCCATATGGAGGTTTTGCTCACTGTAATATGGAGTGTGTAATGAGTTTAGCCTTTGTTTAGTAGATTCAGTTTTTAAATAATAGTGGTTTTCAGTCAGTTATAGGGATATAATTTGAATGACTGCAAGATTTTAAATTATAATCCCATCCCATATATCAATTTGGTATTTTTACAAATCTGAAAGGTGTTTTTACAATGATAATGATTTTCTCTTCTTTACTCCTTACCTATTCTTAAATGAAATGACACATGTGGTATTTGGGGAGATAAAGATAATGCATGTGCACAGTGCAGATGCATACTCTCATATAGGTTTATACGTTTTGCTAAAGTGCTTCTTTCAGTAATGGGCTCATTATCGTAGCCATATGTAGCCCATTTCAGAACTTGAATTGCATATAAGTAACCTGAAATTTGTTCTTGTAGCTAAGCAGTAATATCACATTTGAATTGGCTTTGTTTGGATAACCTTTGATGCTATGCAACATGTGGACCATAAACCAAAAAGGATTACTTGAACATTAAACAAGAAAATCTTAAAGTAAAAGTCATGATTATACACAGACAAAAAAACCCAGTTCTTGTCATTTGACTCCTGGGCAGCTTGTAAAAATAGCATCTTTGACAGTAAAAATATAGATAAGTAAGGAAATGACTTAAATGTGGATATGTGTATAGTGGGAGATGGGCTCTCTCCCTGTCTCCCTCCTTCTCTCTTTCTCCCCCCCCAGGGTATATATGAGTATGTATGTGTGTATGTATGTATGTAGAAATATATGTTTATGAAGTCCATGAAGCAAGAGATAAATTTACTTCCCATAAGCAATTAGTTTTTTGAACAATATTTGAAAAAAGGGGGGGAATTGATTCATCTTATTTTCATTCTTATTTTTATTCTCTTCTGCTTTCTTCTCTTCTCTTCCCTTCCTTCCTTCCTTCCTTCCTTCCTTCCTTCCTTCCTTCCTTCTTCTTTTCTCTCTATTTTCAACATTATAAAGGTGTTAGAAATATTTGAAGAGTGAAGAAGATTGAGAGTCTTTATTAAATGATAATTGATCAAATCAGCATCTAAGGGTGTGAAATTAATAGTTGTTGATCTTGGGTATATGTAACTTTGGTTGAAACATCCTCACCTTTCTTTAAGTAAGCTGTATAATTTTAAATAAACTTGCTATGTATGTATACTATATTTTTTAAACTCAGACAAACTGAAGTTCCAGATCTGAGTTCAAGCAGAAATGGAAACATAATATACCATTTTATAGAATTATTTTTAAATAACAGAATTGTCATATCTTTTACAGTTTCTCCAGGTACAGACCTTTCAATCTCAATCAGTATATGACATGGTATTAATTTTCTTCTTAAAACAATATTGAATGAAGAATGACTGGATGATTATTCTCTTTTTAGGAGAAAGTTTCACATACTTTTTTTTTTTTTTAGGTTTTTAGCAGGGTGCTATGCAAACACGGGTATGTAACATCATCTGTGGAATGTACCATACCAACCCCAACGACCTACCTATAATTCAAAATAGCATTGAAGTCACTGGGCCTCAGTCATTAGTGTTTTCTTCATTTCAGCCACTCCTTACAATCTTTCATCTCATCCATATTTATGCTCTAAAAATGCCTCTAAAACTGCCTAGTCATTTCATAGAAGAGTTGAGATCATTGAGGATTCATCTTAATGTGTCTGTACACAGCGTATCTCCAGTGCCTGGAGCAATGCTTGCCAGGTCCCTCTGACTATGTGGCATCTTGGCTTAATAACTACTGATACTAGAGCAAACTCAAGCCCAAGATAGAACATGTTCATTTTGTAGTTGTTCCCATCTCAGTAAATGGCGTCATTATTTACATTTTTTTCATGATCAAAGCAATGAACCATGTTGACTCAAAGCAGTGAACCATGTTAACTTGTTCGCTTAGCTCACAACTTGCTTCTTATAAAACAATTGAAACAGCCTGATTTTGTGATTTCTTTCCCCTACCCAACTTCTTATGAACCATTTTAAATGCATACTAAGTTGAAAAAAATTTTCAATGAACATCGAAGTTTACCCTGATTCTGTAATTATTCTGCTTTCTTAATACATACCTACTAACTTATCAGTTTTGTTAAGTATCCCTTCATCTGGCCCTTCCTAATTCTCCATACCTAACCAATGGGACCTTTAATACACATGTAAATGAGATGTGTATTTTCCTGTAGCTCTTTGCTCATGGCTTCCACTAGGCCTAGCACTAAGATATACAAGACTCTGTGAGTTCAGACCGTCTTCTACCTATAGGACGCCAATGGTTCAGATTATCTATCTAGAATATAGATT